GTCTGTTCAGCATTTCAAAACGCACAAAATATATATTTTGTTATCAAGCATGCAAACCCTCACGTAAGGGTCGTCGTCACGTAAAGTGACAAGCGTGACAAGATGTCGCGTCGTGTTGCGTGACGATCCTAAGTGCCAGGTTGTTTTCCTATTAAATTTTGATCGTATCTGTGGCGCACATTGTAACAGAAACAAACCGTTTACTAAAACCAGTCTGGAATCGTACCGCTTAGTTTTAATAAGACCTCAGTTACTGTAAACATAACTGTATTAGTCCTAAGCTGGACACATCAATTCTCCTTACTAATTGCCCAAAGTGTTTTGATCCTAGTTTTCGGAATTTGGTGGTATATCAAGACAATATCCCGAGCTGACAATTTTCTTTATTCCAGTCACCTGTCTGCTTGGAAATGTATTGATACTACAAGGAGAAATAATATGTCCATCAATCTTGGGACTGGCTCAGAGTACGTTTTTCAAAACCCTCAACTAAAATTCCATTGTGGGGTTCGTTTCCAAATAAATCGGCAGTAAACCCGAGGAAAATTCGAAGCCGGATACGAAATGAATACTTTTGGTGCTTGTCATGCTTAAATTTGCTGCCAAGAAAAAGCGCAAAGGTTCCGAAAGCATATCAAATGTCAACCGAAATAAATCTGCTCTAGCCACAGCGTGCAATTTAACGCCCAAATTTCTGCGCGTAATTTTCATTCCATAATTTCCAAACTGGGAAACATCACGAAATTCATTCGAGATTGCAGCAAAATTGTTGTCAAAGTTACAATTCTAATTTGTGAAAACAACTTGAGCTTGAAAATCCTAAGAACAAAAATATGCAAATTTCTGCATGCTGTTTGCACGCATCATATTAAATATTTACATTAATATTTTTGAAAGATCAAAACAATATTTTAAACTTTAGTTCTGCAATCAGTTGCTCTTTAAATTGTCGTTTTCTCTACGGTTTAAAAACAATTCTCAAACTGCTAAAAAAAAATTTGAAAGAACTGTCCTTCTTCTAACTTTGCAGTTGCTTGGAAAAATTGTAACTGACAGAGTGTGCTTTAGCTGAAGTTTTGAACTCCCAAGACAAATAGTTAGATACATGTGCCTCAGTCTTGTCTTGCATGACATTACGTTCGTTTAGTACACAAGCCAAATCAGTCACGTCTTTAGGAAATGAGATTTAATGACCTGGTTCTTTTTGACTGAACAAGCATCTGTTGCCGAATTTAACGAAACTCAACCAAACAGTGGCCAAGAAACAAGGAAATGTTTTGAAAAACGTACCCATCAATGTTTACAGTTGAATGAAATACAGTCAAACCACTCACAGGTGACCTGTTATGAATTTTGCAAAACCAATGGACTGCTTATAAAAGTTTAGTAATTCGGCTGCACGAGACAATTCTTAGACTTGTTTATCAGACTCGAGATGGTCAATTTTCACAAAGTGGTCACTTAGAGAGGTTCGACTGCGTTTGATATGTCAGACATGCAGTGTACTGTACCAAGATCACATGAATAAACAGAGGCTCTCTATAAAACTGAAGTTAAAATCAAGTGTGTAACTTAGTTTGCCAATCAGTCTGTTTGTCTAAATTGTTCTGTCTGTCTGTCTGTCTGTCAGTCAGTCTCTCATTCTGACTCACATGGCTGTCGGTTAGTTTGTTTGTTCAGTTGCCCATCTGTCAGCAGGTTCTTACATCCCCGTTTCTGTTAATTGATCAGTCAATCAGTATGATAACAAAAGGTTCAAATTTGGTCTTAAGCACTTGATCAGTCACTCAGTCAGTCCGTTCATCCATCCACCAGCTGGTATTTCAGTCAATCAATCAATCAATCAATCAATCAATCGGAGAATCAATCAGCCAGTCAGTCAGCCAATCAGTCAGCCAATCAATCAGTCAATCAGTCAGCCAGTCAGTCAATCAATCAACCAGAGAATTAACCAGCCAGTCAGTCTGGCACTCAGGCAGTCAGTCGGTCAGTCAATCAATTAATTAGACAATTGATCATCAGCGAGGCAGGCAGTAAATCAGTCAGTGAGTATGTCAGTCAGTCAGATCAGTCTGTCTATCAGTTAGTCAGTTGGCCAGTCAGTCTGTCAATCACAGCCAGTCAATCATTTAGTCAGTTCATCTGCCCATCAGTCAGTTAGTTAGGCAGTCAGTCAGTTAAACAATCCATCAGTCAGTCAGTCAGTCAGTCAGTCAGTCAGTCTGTCTGTGAGTTCAGTCAGTCAGCCAGTCAACCAGTCAGTCAGCCTGTTTGACAGTCAGTTAGCCAATCAGCCAGTCAGTAAATTGGGCAATCCACCAGTCAGTCAATCAATCAGGCAATTGGCAATTGGTTCAAAATTGGTCTTCAGCACTTGATCAGTCACTCAGTCAGTCCGTTCATCCATTCACCAGCCGGTATTTCAGTCAATCAATCAATCAATCAATCAATCAATCAGTCAATCAATCAATCAATCAATCAATTGGAGAATCAATCAGCCAGTCAGTCAGCCAATCAGTTAGTCAATCAGTCAGCCAGTCAGTCAGCCAATCAGTCAGCCAATCAATCAGTCAGTCAGTAAATCAACCAGAGAATTAACCAGCCAGTCAGTCTGGCACTCAGGCAGTCAGTCGGTCAGTCAATCAATTAATTAGACAATTGATCATCAAGGAGGCAGGCAGTCAATCAGTCAGTGAGTAGGTCAGTCAGTCAGATCAGTCAGTCTGTCTGTCAATCAGTCACTCAGTTGGCCAGTCAGTCTGTCAATCACAGTCAGTCAATCATTTAGTCAAACCACCTGCCCGTCAGTCAGTTAGTTAGGCAGTCAGTCAGTTAAACAATCCATCAGTCAGTCAGTCTGTCAGTCCAGTCAGTCAGCCTGTCTGGCAGTCAGTTAGCTAATCAGCCAGTCAGTAAATTAGACAATCCATCAGTCAGTCAATCAATCAGGCAATTGACCAGTCAGTCCATGTCTAAGTCAATTAATCATTCAGTCAGTCAGTTGGTTAGTCAGTGCTTACTTCCATTCTTCCATCCATCTGTCAGTCTGTCAGTCAGTCAGTACGTCCGTCCATTCCTCTGTCCATCAGTCTGTCAATCAGTCAGTCAATCAATCAGGCAAATGATCAGTCAGTTAACTAGTCTGTTGGCCGAGTAGGACTTTTGAAGATGGCTACAGAATATTTTAACAATTATCTGATTTAAAATTAATTCAAAACAGTATTGTTAAAAAAGTGTTATTTGAGAGCTCTTCAGTCTATTCATTGTACAAATCAACCATGGCAGAATAGATTGCATGACTGAATTCAATTTCTCAATGTTCAACTTGGCTTATTCAAGAGCTTTGTTGACCTGGTTCACCCAAAAGCTGGATTGCAAAACAAATTATGCAACCCTTCTAAAGATAACTGCTTCATGCTTTGGTCCACTTTGTCACTGATGGCATCTGATCTGGAAAAGAAAGATTAAAATTAATACCTTGCTTAAGAGCCAAGTTAAAAATATTACAAGAAAACTTATTACCAATTACTAAACAATTCACAGATTTTAAAGCTATTTTAAACCTGATTTTGTCATAGTTTTCATGATCTTTCTGGACAGGGGTAAAATACATGTAGCTTTAAAATAGGGTCCCTACACAGTCAAACCTGTATTAGGCACCCACCCTTAGGGCCTGTGCTGGTGTCTGCTTAATACAGGGTGTTTGTTGAAAACAGGTTCCTTCAGAATTTGTCTTAAAAAGCTTTAATAGCTTTAATAGGGTCATATTAATATTCATCAGTATTAAAAGACTTTTTAAAGGGTCAAATAGCATTCTCGCGAATGGTTGATAACTCTGAAATACCACATTTCCATAAGCAATAACAAGTTATGAAGTAAAGCCATTTAAGTATACAGTAACAGTATCTATATTGATTGAGTTATGTCAAGGTTCACAAAATCAAACAAGACCAAAAGTTCTGCAAAAACAAAACCGAATAATAATAAACAACCCTCCAAGTTGCAACCATTTTAGTCGCCATGGCAACTAGAATTTTGGAGACTAACTTGCAATGGGAGTCGCCAGCCTGACTAAAATCAACATCATCAAATCAAGATTGAGAGCTTAAGTGGACTATCATCCAGACCAAAAAAAACATACACTGAGCATTATAAATTCACTTGTAAAAATAAGTTCTTTGAACATCTTAACCTACTGAAATTGACAATAAAAAAAAAATGAAATGTTTTAATAATTCCAAGAGTGCCTCATTACTGTACAGCACTGCAAATGATCCCCGACCGCAAATGATCCCCAAATTGGACCGGAAATGATCTCAAACCTCAAATTATCCCCAATGTAGACCACAAATGATCCCGCTGGAAAACGAGGAATGGCATGGAGTTTGCTTCCATGTTTTTATTTATTCATTTTATTTTCATCAACCAAATGATAAACGTAAAGAAAAGATACCAACAATGTAAACTACAATTTAAATATAATTCTCATGATAAATAATTCCATCTCATTTTCTCTCGACAATTCTTCTGAAAAAAATCAGGGAGGAAAAAAAAAGGTCGTAGACAGCGATACCATTTCTCAATTGGCTCAATCTACAAATATGATAGCTTAATGCTACCATGACGAAGAAATAAACAACTTGTATACATTTGTGTTAATACCACCAGAAAGAGCAATCAAGACATATTCATGATATTCATGACACTTGCGCCACTTGTGATCGAAGAAGATTGTCTTGCTGAAGCTATCGCTTCAAATTGCTGATCCAGGGTACGAGTCATAAGAATCTGAATAAAAATGCAGCTCATATTCCAGATGGACCAGATAAAAAATGATTTTGTCCTGCCATAACACACGCCAAACTGGACTAGCTGTCAAAGTTATTCTCTCGCCCTAATTATTTTTATCCAGACATGTTTTAAAAAATATGACAGTTAAATGGTTAAAAAACAAAATTGCTTGCTTTGCCAAAATTTGGAAGCCTCTGAGGCAGCACTTCGGCTTCTTTGAAGATTGGCGAAAATTTGGCAATCCACAAAAAATTGGCAAGTGTTTTAAACTGGGGGTCACACTTATTTTATGCTATGTGTTGACAGATTTATTACTTATAAAAACAAAATTGGCTCTAGTGCAACCCAGACCTATTTGATTAAATTAATCAAGAATTATTATTAATCAGTAAGCTTACCTGGATAACCGCTACATGCTGATTGCAGAGGCCATGGACCACTCGGTTTTCTGTTAAAATCTCATCTGGAAAACAAGATTAATGTCAGTGTTAAGTTGAAACCAAGACAACATCTCTTCAACGTTTTCCAACTACATACAAACTTTGCATTTCAAGCACTTTACCTATACTGATATAGGAAAATTTAAAGGGAGCATGCTCCCAACACAGAGGCATATATATCTAGATGTCACTGCCATCCTCCCACACATGTAAAAGTAGGAAAGGTTTTTTGTGGGGGTTTTCTAGCTCCACAAACCATTGATAAAGTCTTGACTACAGAGCAGAGTTTGTCTAATTTACCACTTGTATGCATACAATGAACAAGAGAATTTTGATTTCATCATTTCAAATAAAAGTTGTTTCTTCCTTGTAAACAGTATTTCCAATCTCTTTGTATAATTAGTTCCAATCTCTGTTGCTATTGGTTCACACTTAGCGTGGCTCTAATACATTATTGGTGCACATGAGAGTTTGGAGAGCACTTGAAAAGCTGGAAGAGACCCTTTTCACGGTTTCTGATGCCATCTTGCTTTGGGGGCAAACACAGCAAAAATTACTGTAAATGTATCCATTGGACAACTTAAAAGTTTGATGCCCAATGAATTGAGAGTGATTGATGGACATTCTGAGTATATTATGAGTTACAAGAAAAAGATACATGTACCCAGCAGAAGGTTTTTTTGACCAAATTTGAAGATCTGTAGATTTGCTGTGATACAAGGAATTGCACTTTTAATATTCCATACAAATGTCTCTAAATTTTCCCACCAATTGTTACTTGGTTTTACAAACAAATGTATGGAAAAATGAAAACCTTAATTGTGGCTTTTCTAGCTAGGCTATTTCCCTCAAATGCTATCAGTAAACTCTTTTATGTACTATCTTTAGTTTTTAATTCATAAATACTTCAGAACTCAAATTTCCGTGAGTTGTTAGACATTAGATTCTCCATTTTTCCCTATACATTTACTGAAACATGAGAAGCTTTGCCCACGAAAAAAATCTATGCAAATTAGGTAATAATAAGTAATGCACGTTTTGATTCCACACATGGCCTATTATTAACTGTAACTGAAGATCAAAGTTCCCAATTTTTGTACAATCGAGGTGTTGGTTGTAACATTTCCAGCAACAAATAATGACACTAATTTAGTTACAAAGCCCATGCAGCGCCATTATTTTTATCACGTGGGTCGCAGTTTTGTATATTGTCACATTTCAATGAAATGGCCATAATAATATTTACTAAAGGAGAAGGTCACTCCAAAAAGGTTACATTTTTGTCTTCACCTATAGCAAGTAAACATTCAGCTTTTTCACCCACCGAAGTTTAAAGGGGCAGTATCACGAGAGGTATTCTAAGGTTTTTGTGCAAACTATGCTAAAATTATAAAGGTGCACCCACTGACACCTTAAAACGACAAAAAAAAAAAGGCAAAAACTCAATCGCTAAGAGATCAATGATTTTTAGTGATTTTCCTCCAAGTAACATTGTCAAACTTGAAAACGTTGGCCCGATATTTTCAAGTTTTAGACCACTTTTTCCCCACTGATCTGTTGCCATAACAGTTGTAAACAACTTTCATGACTAGTACGGTGCATTTTAGCAAGGTTAGGCAACTACTAGTGGATTTCCAATTAATACCAACACCTTCATTGGACTTTTAAGTAGCACTAAATCTTGGTGAGACTGCCCCTTTAAGTGCCTGCTATCCTGAAGAAATTCATCTCAAAAGAAGCGACTTCAGAGGACACCATTTTGAACTGTACTTGGCAGCCAGGCCGTGTTTATGTGACTTAATTCCATCCAACTTGAAATGGGCAGGAAGGAGAAAAACCTACAACTAACTTTGCATCCTTCACAAGGTCAGTAAAATGTATTTTTTCCAAGCGATTATCCACTTCCCTATCTTCACTGCTTTCATTTTTGGAGTTTTGAGCTTGTTTGGCCCATAATAATACAGCTTCAGAGCAGCCATAGCCCAGAGTGGTAGTTAATAGGCTTGTCAGAAGCCATTTGGACAAAATGTCTTGGACAAAATGAAGGCACGAACACGCAGTGTGGCTGCTGAGTACTGCGGCAACAATGTCAAATTTTGGTCTTCTTTGGAGACAAATTTCATAAGGAAAACCTCCACTTTAGAGGCTGAAACTTCGGTGAGTGACTAAAGTTAGTGTGAGGCCTTTCTCAAGTTCTGTGTGGAGATACTGGTCAATAAGTGAAGGCTGAAGTGAAGCTGAAAGCATGTTCTGACTTGCCAACTTTAATGAAACTGCCAAAGGGTTGAAACCAAGATGAAAACCAATGCCGAGACTGGAAATCACATAATCCAACTGGGCCTAATCAGAATGAAAGCACAGTTCATGCCTAAGTTTTTCAGCATTTATTAGAGTAACACTAGATGGAGAGACCAGACCTTGCTGCAGGGAGCCCATGAAGGAAGATAAAATTAATATGGACGAGAGGTTGGAACTGAAGTGAAAAGAGGCTTGACAATGGAGTCTTGTGTCAATGTAAGAACAGTAACAGGTATGGGAAATACAACGTTTGAACTCTTAACGGATCAAGGAATATCAACATTACAGCTGTATGTAAAAAGTTCTGCTGGAACATAGGATGGGACAATCTGGCTACCACCTTACAGCTGCCGGCGTTTGCTCCAGGGAGGGGTAGCTGACTGCAACTGCTGACTCGAGGACAGAAAGAGACAGTTGATGCGAGGATGCTCACCTTCACATTTTGCACAGCTATGGGAGTAACTGTATTGGCCAAATGGCCAACAGTAAGTACCATCGTTCTATGATCAACAACTTGTGAGGTTAGAGATGGGGCACTAGATGGTAGGCTCTATTGTGGCAGCGAAGTACAAGTGTGAAAATTATACAAGTCAAGATTCATGCAAGACCAGTCTGCCAAACCTGATGAGGCAGCGTCTTCTCTGAACGCAATGTAGTAATGAAGTCAGGCTTGGGAATTGGCGTGACATCTTCAAGATGAGAAGCTTGTAATGAGTTAAGTCTGGCCACCTGGACTGATAAGCGCTGCAGAGAATCCAGGAGAAAACCCAGGTTATGATGTCAGTAATTTCTTGAACTCTTTTTTTGCAGGACTTAACAAGAAGTTTTCTTTCCAGGTAGGTTTGGGGCTCTGTATCCAAAGCTTTCAGGTTTTCACCTAACAAGTCAGTTAGATTGACCAACTGGCCTGACCTGACCTTTGTCACCAGCTTTTCAAGAGCTGGGGAGTACCCTGGACCCACCATGAACGACCTATTTAGTGACAACGTGGACGAGATTGAAGAAACCAAAGAAAATGATGGAGTGGGAGACTGGATAGCGGTGGACAGCGATCCACTCATGGCACCACAAGAATCAAACAAATATGGCACCCTGACAATAGCCGGGGTGGATAACGCAGAATTCCCTAACATGCAATATGTGGAGATAAAAGAAGACACAACGATATTTCCAGTGAATGGACCAGTCGCAGAAGAAAGTGGTGGATGACTGGAAATGGGAGTCAACAAAGTCGTGCCTGAAACCAAGTTTCTCGCCAATGAGCAAGTTGGCGAGCCAGAGGTTGAGTGACTTTGCAAAGCCGTCAAAATCCGAGGTGACGAATCGCCTAACGCCTGAGAAAAGACCTGGGAGAGGTCCTGCTATGAAAGAGTGAAAGTAGGCATTGGGGCCACTGCATCTGTTGAAACCAACGAGGTTGTCTCCAAAGGTGGTGGAGCCGAAGACAAAGGCTGGCCCAAATCCAACATGAGCACCAAGCTGTTGTTCGTTGAACGCCCAGGAACATGTGTCAGTTCCAAATGATCAAAGAAGAAAAAACTGGCAGGAAACTCGTGGCAAATAACGAAGATGAGGAACACCTTTAAGCATGATCGCAAAAGCAAGACTGCGTGACAAATAAAAGATGTATTGGGTCCTGTTTCATGTTACGTTTCCTGGCATGCGATGATAAGTCGCGTACAAGATTAGAAGACCTCTTGGACTTAATTTTTTTAGTGGGTAAACCTCTGTCATGTTTTGCCATGGTTGCTCCCCCCTAAAAGCACGATGGCATCAGAAACCGTGAAAAGGTCTATTGCTCTTGGTATGGCTTGAATAACTCATACCCCTTGCACCTCCCCCCCTCCCACCCCAATTGAGACGCCAGGAGATCTGAGGGGGAAGGGGGAGTCTTCAAAGGCCGTTTCTAAAAGGGCAACTGTGCCGGCACCTTTGTTCTTCTAATAAATTCTGAAGGGGAAGGTGTGTTGGCACTTTGATCTTCCTTTCTTGGGGAGGGGGATGGGGGAAAGGGTAAAAAGTTAACATTTCTGAGGCAGTAAAATTGAAAGGTCCTCAATAAGGGGGAGGGAGGTGGAGGGGCACGGATATCAAATGGAATGGCCCCTAGAAATATCACGCTACATGTTTCTCAGTTTATGTGCCTCTTCTGCACCTATCAATGGTTTGCCGGGGCTTCGTAAAACCCACAGGAATTAGACTAAAGCACACACGGGTTGGGATTTTGACATCCTCAACAGTCCCCAGGGTCGGAAATTTGACTCGACCGCCTTCTTGAAAAGTTAAGCGAATCTGGGAATGAGTGATGTGTGGTGTGCCATCTTGGAAAATACCACTTGCAATAAACTTGTTGTAAGTGCCTATCATTTCATTAAACGTACTATGCAAGGTCTGTGGTCCCCTGGGATGGGAATTTGACTTATAATGGAGACTCAAAGGAGGGGAAATTGACATTTGAAAACCTCAAAATGTCAAATTTCCCCAGGGTTTCCCGACTCCCCCATCCTGGAGAAAACCATTGATAGGTGCATTAAAAGCAGAATAAACTCTGATCGATACACGTGCATCGTTTATGTCCTATCTTATTACCTAGTCAAGTATTTATCTTATCAAACTGTAAGGTAATCACAACTCAAAACAATTTACAAGCGCGCTTACATCAGCTTACCTTAGCCTCAGAGGTTGTCAACAACAAGTACGTCTCCACATTCCACCTCCTGGTTCCGACAAGCAAAAAAGTGAAGAAAGTTAGCTTATGACCCAGATCAAGTAATATCACTGGTTCACGCCGTTTAAAAACAAAGAAAAAACCTTTGAAATTACAATAAACTCGACTTTCCATTATTTTTCTTGCACACGTGCCAACATGGCGGAACGAACTACACTCGCAAAGATCACTGGGAAATAGCTAGAGCGTGAGGGAGTGGGGAGGGGAGGGGAGGGACACGAGAGCATAACCAGCAAAATTACATTACATGTACAGTACTGTATTAGCGTTAAAACTCGAAGCTGAAAATCGCTCCCACACCGTACTTTGACGATAAAACACCAAAAAAAAAAACCAAATTTTTATGAATTTTACTACGGCTACAATTCTATTTGCTTACTCCGCAAAACAAGAAGAAACTTCAACAAAAGACGTTTACAGCTCATCTTCACCTCTGTTCTAGTTCATGCTGGTCATTATCAAATGCATAAGCAAAACAATAAAATCAGGAGCCCATCACTCTTGATAAAATAGAAATTCCTGTCCTGAAACTAGCTATTTAATAAGTCCGTTACATTTTTGACATCTTTGCAGTGTTTGGCCTTTGGCAGACCACAGAAATTAGCTAAAACTGACATGATTATAAAATGAAACCATCATGGTGGCTATCATGACTGAATAAGGTCTATTGTTGTAGAAATCATCGTGAACAGTATAATGCAAAGTTTTTTGTGTGATGAAAAAACCTCACCATGTCAGATTGAAAGGCTCAATGTCCACGTCTCCATAGCAAAAACAAAAATATACGACAAATTAACAAAAAGAGATATACATGCATATATATCATAATTGGACGGGACTGCTTCCCATCAGAAATACCTCGTAAAATTAAATCTAAAAATATTAGATTCAGCCTAATTTGTGGCTGCGAATAAGAGCAAGATCTAGAAAAATCAGTTTTTCCTTTGTAAGTGATTTCTTCATTAATAATGCTCCTCGCGGGGAGTAGGGATGGCTTGGCTCGCCTCCCACCAATGTGGCTCGAGTTTGATTCCCGCCCGATGCCATACACTGTATGTGGGTTGAGTTTGTTATTTTTCTCGCCTTGCTCCGAGGGTTTTTCTCCGGGTTCTTCGGTTTTCCTCCCTCCACAAAAACCAACATCTCCAAATTCCAATTTGACCAGGACAGAGGACCCGCGTGAAAACCGGGTAAGACTGATGTGACTTCCGCTCTAAACATTACAATTTATATTGCGATTTATAATCCACATACAATTCCACTCCGATCTTCGCAGAGATTTTAGTTCTATCTCTACTGAATAAAAAACTCTGCTTTGCAATGATTCCAGGGTATTCCAATATAGACTATATAGGTTTTCCCTATAATTCCTATTTAAGCGTTGCGTTTTCGTAAAGTCAACAACAACAATAATCTTTATTTTCCTTCATTTTAAAATTACGTGTTATTTGGCCCGCGGACAACAAGTGCTAATCTAGGCGGACCATTAATCGCTTAAGCATATAACTAGATTAATTAAACATATAACTAGAATAAATAAACGTATGACTAGATTAATTAAGCAATAGACCACAAGTTTTTATGGTTTATAGTCCGGAAAACCACGCGGGATGTTGGAAGAACACGAGAAGAATTCATAAATCACGAGCCGCAGGCGAGTGATTAACGATTTCTTCGAGTCTTCTTCCAACATCCCAAGTTGTTTATCATGCCACTAAACCATAGAAACTTGTGGTCTATTGCTTCTACATAATAATTCAGAAGACACGCGAAATTTCCATGAGTTTACTGGCACAATAAACCATAGCTGATTGACCAATCAGATCGCGCGCATTCATTTGATTGTTATATAATTAAACATATAAAACTAGATTAAACTAGATTAATTAAACATATATAACTAAACTAATTAAACATATAACTAGATTAAATCTTGCCAACCTTTGACAAGCTATTTCGGGAAAAACCTTTCATGGTTTGCTCAAACATTATTGGAAACGTCGTTGGCTTAGAATGAAGTTTATTATCTTAATTTCTAATTTTTTTATGAAGATAAGCCAGCAGTTTGTGCAATATTTTTATTACGTTGTCCTGGGGAATGAAATAAGATTTAAACTTCAGACATGGAAGTATAGAGTCAATTAATAAAATAAGTGATTTTGTTGGAGAAAGGAAACAATATGAATCAACACAAACAAGGATTAGAATTGAAACCTATTTAAGCTATTTAAGCTATTTAGCATCAACTTTTTGACAAAAACAGAGTGAATTAATTTTTACGTTTTCGGGCAAACTCCAAAAATTGAAAGCTCGTCTATCACTGTTGCGCCTTTCATGTTAAATTTAGCCAGGTTGCAGTTAAACTTCGACGAAAGTTTGTTCACTCGACGTACGTTTACTGTGGCAAAGATTAAGATCATCATTTGTAAATTGACGATATTGTTATGTCCAGGCTTCCAAGGCCATTATTTTGCGCTGTTTTATAAGCCATGGTGGAGCATTACCACAACGTGCACGAGAAATGATACGGACCTTTTGACTGCTTGCTTGAAACGAGCCAGGACATTTCAATGGTTTTTTAATTGTTTTGATCGAGAAATATCAGCAGAATAAGGCGAGAAAACGAGCATTATTTTATGCCGGTGCTAGACCCAAAGTGCAGGATATTTTTGAAACACTAGAGAATACAGGGTACATATGGCTTGCAAACTCAAAGAAATTAAAATTCTCGCGAACAAAGGCAAAAGCAAAGGACTACTGGGGCAATACAAAATTCTAATACGAGTTCAGCCTCAGCCGTACATTTTACTGTTTACTACAACGATAACGCAATGTTTACATTTTCAAAGGAGTCAATTGTTTAAAGTGAAATGTAAAGAGTGAGATGCGCCCGCATTCTCACAGAATTTTAAGGTTGTTCTATCGGAACAAAATATTACGCGATTAAATTATCGCTGTCTTTATAAGTTTCTATACTTCTAATTTCTTTCTCATTTTTTTACAGGACTGAAGGAAGTTAAATAATAAATAATAATAATATTTAATATTTCTAAGGCGCAAATTAACATGTGAATATGATCAAATGTTAACACTCTTCTACTGTAAATGAAGACATGCTGTATAATAAAGCTGCAAGTTTTCATCGTGATCTTTTCTCTTGCAGAATACGCAGAATATATTTATTAAAGAACGTATACTCTCGTTGAACAATTAGTAAGATTGAAATACAGCGAAGAAAGGAAACAGAATCTTTTGGTACGAAACTAAAATACGTTGTTACAGATAACTTGATTGTACATGGAAAGTCTTTTGGCGGGAAAAAAATGTGCGCTTTTAAGCGGTGCCTGGGAATTTTTTCGAAAAACAATTAAGTCTTTTGGCGGAAAAAAACTCTGCGTTACTAGATGGAGTCTAGATAGTTGTCAAAAANGGAATTAGACTAAAGCACACACGGGTTGGGATTTTGACATCCTCAACAGTCCCCAGGGTCGGAAATTTGACTCGACCGCCTTCTTGAAAAGTTAAGCGAATCTGGGAATGAGTGATGTGTGGTGTGCCATCTTGGAAAATACCACTTGCAATAAACTTGTTGTAAGTGCCTATCATTTCATTAAACGTACTATGCAAGGTCTGTGGTCCCCTGGGATGGGAATTTGACTTATAATGGAGACTCAAAGGAGGGGAAATTGACATTTGAAAACCTCAAAATGTCAAATTTCCCCAGGGTTTCCCGACTCCCCCATCCTGGAGAAAACCATTGATAGGTGCATTAAAAGCAGAATAAACTCTGATCGATACACGTGCATCGTTTATGTCCTATCTTATTACCTAGTCAAGTATTTATCTTATCAAACTGTAAGGTAATCACAACTCAAAACAATTTACAAGCGCGCTTACATCAGCTTACCTTAGCCTCAGAGGTTGTCAACAACAAGTACGTCTCCACATTCCACCTCCTGGTTCCGACAAGCAAAAAAGTGAAGAAAGTTAGCTTATGACCCAGATCAAGTAATATCACTGGTTCACGCCGTTTAAAAACAAAGAAAAAACCTTTGAAATTACAATAAACTCGACTTTCCATTATTTTTCTTGCACACGTGCCAACATGGCGGAACGAACTACACTCGCAAAGATCACTGGGAAATAGCTAGAGCGTGAGGGAGTGGGGAGGGGAGGGGAGGGACACGAGAGCATAACCAGCAAAATTACATTACATGTACAGTACTGTATTAGCGTTAAAACTCGAAGCTGAAAATCGCTCCCACACCGTACTTTGACGATAAAACACCAAAAAAAAAAACCAAATTTTTATGAATTTTACTACGGCTACAATTCTATTTGCTTACTCCGCAAAACAAGAAGAAACTTCAACAAAAGACGTTTACAGCTCATCTTCACCTCTGTTCTAGTTCATGCTGGTCATTATCAAATGCATAAGCAAAACAATAAAATCAGGAGCCCATCACTCTTGATAAAATAGAAATTCCTGTCCTGAAACTAGCTATTTAATAAGTCCGTTACATTTTTGACATCTTTGCAGTGTTTGGCCTTTGGCAGACCACAGAAATTAGCTAAAACTGACATGATTATAAAATGAAACCATCATGGTGGCTATCATGACTGAATAAGGTCTATTGTTGTAGAAATCATCGTGAACAGTATAATGCAAAGTTTTTTGTGTGATGAAAAAACCTCACCATGTCAGATTGAAAGGCTCAATGTCCACGTCTCCATAGCAAAAACAAAAATATACGACAAATTAACAAAAAGAGATATACATGCATATATATCATAATTGGACGGGACTGCTTCCCATCAGAAATACCTCGTAAAATTAAATCTAAAAATATTAGATTCAGCCTAATTTGTGGCTGCGAATAAGAGCAAGATCTAGAAAAATCAGTTTTTCCTTTGTAAGTGATTTCTTCATTAATAATGCTCCTCGCGGGGAGTAGGGATGGCTTGGCTCGCCTCCCACCAATGTGGCTCGAGTTTGATTCCCGCCCGATGCCATACACTGTATGTGGGTTGAGTTTGTTATTTTTCTCGCCTTGCTCCGAGGGTTTTTCTCCGGGTTCTTCGGTTTTCCTCCCTCCACAAAAACCAACATCTCCAAATTCCAATTTGACCAGGACAGAGGACCCGCGTGAAAACCGGGTAAGACTGATGTGACTTCCGCTCTAAACATTACAATTTATATTGCGATTTATAATCCACATACAATTCCACTCCGATCTTCGCAGAGATTTTAGTTCTATCTCTACTGAATAAAAAACTCTGCTTTGCAATGATTCCAGGGTATTCCAATATAGACTATATAGGTTTTCCCTATAATTCCTATTTAAGCGTTGCGTTTTCGTAAAGTCAACAACAACAATAATCTTTATTTTCCTTCATTTTAAAATTACGTGTTATTTGGCCCGCGGACAACAAGTGCTAATCTAGGCGGACCATTAATCGCTTAAGCATATAACTAGATTAATTAAACATATAACTAGAATAAATAAACGTATGACTAG